CCGTGTCGTGGCACGGTTAGGGTTGTGTTGTGGGATGACGTTGTGATGGCATTGCACGGGGGACAGACAGGATGGGTTGGGCACGGGGGGACAGACTGGGCATTGCATGGGGGGCACAGACAGATGTCAAGGAGCATGGCTAGGTGAAGCAGAGCAGGTTGGTCTGATCGAGAGGCAGCACCGTGAGGAAGGACAGACGGACAGGGTGGGGTATTGCATGGAGGGACAAACGGGTGGCATGGGGCTGCTGTCACAGAGGACTATGGACATGGACAGACAGACAGCGTGATGCGTGGCGTGGGGGGGATGGACAGACAGCACAGGCAGGGACAGCCAAGATGAGAAACAAGGCGTGTGGGGACAGATGAACCAAGCGCTGTGTGGGATGGATGGATGGATGGACGGACGGATGCACAGACAATGTGGAGGACAGCTTGCAGGGACAGACGAACAGAGCATGGTGCTTGGGACAGACCCCCCTGTCTGGGTGGACAAGCAGCACTTATCAAGTTCAACACAGACAAGTGTAAGGTCTTGCACCTGGGAAAACATAATCTGGGAGTGCAGCACGGGTTGGGATCCACCCTGCTGGGGAGCCGCTCGGTGGAAAGGGACCTGGGGGTTCTGGTGGACAAGCAGCACAGGGACAGACAGTCAGTGCAGAGCAGCATGCTGAGGGACAGCCAAGCGGCCTGCACCCTGTTTCCCCACCCTGTATTGGGTGAACTGAGCCCACTGGGCTCAGCCCGGCTCAGCCCCCATCCCCAGCTCCATCCTGTCTACCCGTGTCCCCATGCAATGCCCTGCCTCCACAGACAATGTGGAGGACAGCTTGCAGGGACAGATGAACAGAGCATGGTGCTTGGGACAGACCCCCCTGTCTGGGTGGACAAGCAGCACAGGGACAGACAGTCAGTGCAGAGCAGCACGCTGAGGGACAGCCAAGCGGCCTGCACCCTGTTTCCCCACCCTGTATTGGGTGAACTGAGCCCACTGGGCTCAGCCCGGCTCAGCCCCCATCCCCAGCTCCATCCTGTCTACCCGTGTCCCCACGAAATGCCCTGCCTCCTGCCTATCTTTGGCCCTCGGCACGCATTGGGGCTGACACATGTTCCCTGTGTGCGAGTGGCAGAGATTAGCACAGGCCGGTGGCATGGGAGCGGGCAGGAAAGTCTGAGTCACAGCTCCCGGTGCTGGGGGCGGCCGGGGGGCCGGGGGCACCCAGCCATGCCCCGGGAGCATCCGACCCTGCTGGGACACACGGCGGGGGACGCAGGTGAGGCATGCACTGCTCCTGGGCTGCTTGGCTGTCCCCGTGCAACCCCGAGGGACATGCGACACTGCCTTCTGCTTCTGGTTTGCTTGCATGGCCCTCTTGGCTCAGCCGCACGGCAGTGGGGGGGGGGGGGGGACACAGGCTGATTGTCCCAGCCCTGCACACCTGGAGGTGCCAGTGGTGGCGGTGACCTCACTGCGACTGTGCCGGCGCAGGTGGCTGCAGGTGGTGGGATGGGAGAAGGGTCCGGGATCCTCCTTCAGGGCTGGGGATGGAGGAGCAAAGAGTCATCCCTGACCACCTGCAATGGGGGATGTGGGGTGGGAGCGAGCCAGCCCTGATCCCTTGCAATGGGGGGATGCAGGGTGGAGAGAGGGAGCCCTGACGGCTGCCGTGGGGTGATGTGGGCTGCAACGTGGAGCCTCCTGTCCCTTCTCTAGGAGGTTATAGGGCTCACTGCCTCTCCGCTGGGGTGTGATGTTGTGCTGACCCTCCCTCCTACATGGGGACATGGGGGCTCAATGGAACGAGTGTCCCGGCCCCCTCCCTCCCCCCGGTTCCCATGGGGGGGGTGGTGCTCAGCCCCACTGGACAGGGGTGTTTTGGGGTCCCCACCACCTCTTGGTGTGGGACTGCACCTTCCCACCAGTTGGGACCCCCCACGTCTGTGCGCTGCCTGGGGGAGAGGGGCAGGGCTTGATCCCGGCCAGGGACACCATGGGGGAGCCCCTGGGGTGGTACTGAGCTGTACTGGGTTGAGCTGGGCTGGACTGGGCTGGACTGGGCTGGGTTGGGCTGGGCTGGACTGGGCTAGAATGGGTTGGGCTGGGCTGCATTGGACTGGACTGGGCTGGAGAAGACTGGACCAGGCTTGTCCAGGCTTCGCTAGACTGGGCAGGGGTGGACTGGATTGGGCTTGGGTGCATTGGACTGGACTGAACCGAACTAGACTAGACTGAGATGCTTCAGACCACCTTGGTCTGGGCTCCACTAGGCTGAGCCGGGCTAAACTGGACTGGACCGGGCTAGACTGGGATGCACTGGGCTGTCCTGGCCAGGTGCCCCGGGGCCACGAGGCTGGTGCTGCCACCTTCTCCCCATGCAAGGGGCTGGGGACGGTGGGGCTTTGCAGCAGCACACGGGGGGGGGGGGGGTGGGGGCGCCCCGCGGGGCATGGGGGAGCAAGAC